ACTGGATCAAAAGTTATTTAAGTTGTCAGTGAGTGGTGGGCCACTCTGTATACATATAATTTATGACACGCACGCGTATATGGGTACGAAAACCAAAAATAAAATTATACAAGAAAATTGTGTTAGCGTGAGTAGTGAGCGGGGTGGGGTGAATGCGTTACGACAGTCTAGTCTCAAGGTCATACACGACGGGATACGCGACATAATAACACGTGTCGCGTGGAGTTACAAACTTACAGCAAACAACAAACATACATGTGAAACTAATATAAGCGTGTTAAAAAAAATTTGTCCCAACGACTTATCTTCTATGTGCAAATGGTTGCCGTATTTAAATAACATGCTATTTTTGTGTTACTATTCTTGGTATTGTATTTTAATTTATTTTAAAATACCTTATGAGGCGGTACACTGATTTTCATAAATATAATAAAAATCTAGTTGACATAAAATATAATGATAAAAACTTATTTGTTTGTCGATTCAGTAAAAATCATTTCCTGTGGGAATGATTTTTTTGCAATTTTTCCGTAATTCTTTTATGTTATAATTTTGCTTATCAATAATCCACCGATTTCTTAAAATTAAACACTATCTACAGATTTGCATCGAAACGTTTTTTTATGATTTTAATCACTGTCAGATATCGTCTATACTAGTCCCAACTGTGCCACGCGCACACTGTACCACGACTCCACTGTGCTACCTTTTTTGATATCATAGTTGCTATAATACAATTTTCTTAATATCTTTTAAAAATTAACTGAAAATGATTTTGATTTTTTATAGAGTAAACAATGTATTTGTTAAATTAAAAATAATGAATTATCGATAATATTAAAAATACTGCAATTCTAATTTTTACATTTAAAACACTTTGAATAGCAAAAAATTCAGCTTATTATTTTAAAATTCAATAATTAGTTTATATTTTTTAAACATTTTTATTAAAATATTACCTGTTTAGAATTTTCCCTGTGGATAGGGAATAAGAATACTTCCATGGCCCCTCTGTCAGTCGTAAGAGGCGACTAGTGAGGTTGTCAGGTCGACAGCCGGTGTAAAAATCTTTATCAAAAAAGTATGAAGAATCCTGCCCATAACTTAGGCGGGTTGTCCCGTCTTGGATGTAAGCGGGGACAACATAATGTAGTTAAAAACGGAGAAAGCCTAAGGAATAAAGTTTTTGATACTAGCCGGACAACTTATGCGGTAGCTGTTTTACCAATCATGTGTACAGGTCTACCCAACGCTTGTAGTGTCAACGTTGTAGGGACATCACCACTTAACTCTAGGCTGGACTCGTGTATAAGGGAGAAAGATAGATACAAAGTAAGAATAGGTACTTGGAATGTTGGAACATTAACTGGTAGTAGAGAATTAGTAAAAGTATTGAAGAGGAGATATAAAAGTACTTATTATAAAAAGAAAAAAAAATTACAACTTTTACAAAAAAATAGATATGTTATACAGTGTGTAAGATTAAACGTAACTTATAGTGACGTATAAAATTTATACTTGCATACAAATTCTCTTTTAAATAAAAGCATAGCATAAATTTATCAAATTTAAAATTTACATAAATTAGTCATTATATTCAAAATTATTTTGTATTAAATATTATTTTTGAATGTTAGAATTTGTTTATCGATTTAAGGGTGGCCTACTCAACGTAGTTAGGATTAAGATGAGGAAAAAAAAGAAGAAGAAGGAGAATATTTTTAATGATTTCATATTTTTTACATTAATAAAATTATTCTAATTGGCTAGAGATTTAATATAGGTGCGATATAATTATGATAATACTTAATTAATCCAACCCAGCCCTCTTTATATAGTAAAATTCTTTTAGTACTGAACACATAAAAAAATTTTAAACTTGTTAATATAGTTATAGTATTAATTTATATTTAATAACTTAAATGATATGATTAATGGTAAGTGGTAAACTTTTTATGTTAATGAGCTCTAGTATTATCTATTTTAATTTTATTCTAAATATTATAATATTTAGAGAATAAGCCAAAGTATTGAAGAGGAGAAAAGTTAACATTTGTTGTGTGCAGGAAACTAAGTGAAAGGGAGAGAAAGCAAGGGAAATAGGTGTGGTTATAAAATAATATACTCAGGTAAGACCAATACATAGAAAGGTATAGTGATAATAATGGATAAGAAGATGAAAAGTAGTATAGTAGAAGTAGTTAGGAAAAGTGACAGAATTATAGTCGTTAAATAAATATCCGAGGAAAAAATGTTGAATGTGTAAGTGCTTAAGCACAACAAGTAGAATGAAATAGACAAAGAAGTATTTTGGAGAGAGATGGATGAAAGAATATTGGGTTTCGCAGTATCGAATGATCTTGATGTGGTTAATACTTATTTAAGAAAGAAGGAAGAACATTATATAACATATAAGAGTGAGAAGAATAGATCACAGATCGATTATTTTATGTGGAAGAGTAAAGCGAGTAAAAGACTGTAAAGTTATAACAGGCGAGAGTGTAACTACACAACATAGACTGATGGTAATTCAGTTGTGGTTTACCGGAAAAAGAATAAATAAAAATAGAAAAAATACAAGGGAAAAATCGAAGATCTGGTGGTGGAAATTAAAAGGGGAAAACGAAAAAGAGTTTGTAAAGACGGTTGCGTTGGAATGCCAGGAAACAAGGAAACCTGGTGGTGGGATGAGGATGTTTAAAAAATCATAGAAAGTAATTCAAAGTATGACAGAAAAGTAAAAGAAGAGAAGACTGGATGGAGTACAAATGCTTGTGCAAAGAAACCATGTGTGCAGTAAGTAGGGCGAAGTTTAAGAGGTATGATTAGTTAAAAAGAGAACAGGTCAAAAGATTATCATTATATAAGGTGTATAAAAAGTGATGATGATGTGAAAAAAAGGTGGAAGGATTATTTGGAAAAATTATTGAATGAGGAGTAGTCAAAAGAGACATTAAAGTATATCTCGTGGAATAAGGAACTGACTTATTTAATAAATGAGAAAGAGGTATGGGAGGCTGTGGCATTAATGAAAAAGAATAAAGCAGTAGGACCAGATGAAGTGCCAGTAGAAGTATAGAAAATATTAGGCGGTGTTAGCATAAGGTGGTTGAAGGAACTTTTAAATAAAATCTTATTAGAAGGGAAAATACCAAATGAATGGAGGAATAGTATTATGGTGCCAATATTTAAAAGTAAAGGAGACATACAGGAGTGTGGAAATTATAGAGACATAAAGCTTATGAGTCATAGTATGAAAATTTGGGAAAAGGTAATAAATGAGAGAATAAGAAATGAGACATCGGTATCTAAAAACTAGTTTGGATTTATGCCCGGTAAGTCAACAATGAAACCATTATTTTGTGTGAGGTAACTAATAGAAAAGTTTAGGGAAAAAAAGAAAAAGCTTTGTATGGTATTTGTAGATTTAGAAAAAGCGTATGATAGAGTACCGAGAGAGGTTCTAAAGTGGGTATTAATGAAAAAACGAGTCCCAAAAAGATACATTAATATAATAAAGGATATGTGACACTTGTACTAGGGTAAAAAGTGTGGTAGGAGTAACAGAAGGTTTTTGGGTAAGAGTAGGAGTGCATCAGGGTTCTGCTTTAAGCCCTTACTTATTCTCTATAGTGATGGATGAAATTACTAGAGAAATACAAGGAGAGGTGCTGTGGTGCATGTTGTTTCCTGACGATATATGGTTAATAGGAGATAGTGGGGAGGAAATTAACCAAAGGCTAGTGATGTGGAGATCAGCTCTTGAAGAAAAGGGTTTAAGAATAAGCAGGAGTAAGATAGAATATATAGAACACGAGGTAGGTGAAATAAGGAGACCAGAGACGTGATTGGAGAGGTGCAAAGTTTTAAGTATTTAGGATCAGTTGTGCAAAAGAGTGTTGGTATTGACGAGGATGTAAGACACAGGTTTAAGTGCGGGTGGTTGAAGTGGAGAGAAGCGTCTGGTGTCTTATGCGATAAAAGAAGTTCAATGATGCTGAAAGGTAAATTCTACAAGACTGTAGTGAGACCAGCTATGACGTATGGTTCAGAGAGCTGGGAGGTTGGTAAGAAAGTAGAGCATAGAATGAGTGTAGCAGAGATAAGAAATCATATATGGATGAGTGGAGTGACTAGAGAAGATAAGATAAGAAATGAGCATATAAGAGGGATAAAAGTATAAGTGTAGCTTCAATCGTGGATAAGATGAGAGAAAATAGACTTAGATGGTTTGAGCAAATTATGAGAAGAGAAGAATCTGTAACCGTAAGAACAGTTGTAGAAATGAATGTTGAAGGAAGAAGAGGTAGAGGAAGATCGAAAAAAAGATGGAGAGATGTAAATGAATGCGATTTAAGGACATCTGATGTGAGCGTAGAGGATGTGAAAGATCGTGTCAAGTGGAAGTTTAAAATAAGTAGTTGGGATTAAGGTGAGGAAGAAGGAGAAGAAGAGACCTGTTTAGATTAATAGAAATATGACTATATATATATGTCAGTACCTTGTTTGTACCCTTCCCATGTCATAAGTTATACATTTTTTTATTAACTATCCACGAACTGCGACAAGAAGTCAGCGTATGTATTATTTTTTATTGCATTCGTTTTAATACGGTACTGTGTTCCTTTTACACCATATTGTAAATTATTAAACTTAAAGTGTATCAATAAGTAAATAGTAAATGCGCGGTGGCTAATAATAAGGTTTGACTCTATGACGCCTTTGGTTAAAAGATTTAATGTCATATCGTGTCACCTTTCTTTTCATAATTTCCATTGCACTTACAAATACTGGCCGTAAAATGTTAATCTATATTTATTACAAGCCAAAAGTAAACTTATTAAGAAGAATTGGAAAATTTATTTAGGTAAAAATAGTGAAAAATTTAATTTTCAAATTTATGATGATAACAATTCTGTTTTTTACTTCCTCAAGAAAATAATTTATGACTGCCTCAAGTTTAGATAGAAATCTATAATAGACACTAATTTTATAATTACCATCATTAGAATCAAGGAATTTCATTATCGTACTATATTCCTCATCGCTTTTTTTCTGTTCAAGCGTTGTAAAAATGGATTTCAAAATGTCAACAGTTAATTTTTCCGTACCGTTAGAAGTCACTACATTATAAATACTCGTAAGCAAATTAATTTGATCAGTTGTTATATCACTCTAAAAAATTACAAGTAATAAATTAAAAATTAAAAAAAATAGTTAAAAAGATTAAAATTAATAATTTGTTGAAATCAATATAAATTTTTTCTTTTAAAATAGACTTTATAATATTAATGTAAAAATATTTATCCTTAACTTAAACATAAGTTTTAATTTATTTAGTATATGTGATTATCATATCTGCATTTAAAACATTATGAAGTGTTTCATATATTTAAAAACAATGCTTATTTATATTTTTTATTAATCATATGGAAATATTTTATTTACAGTTATAAAATAGGATTTCAATTATTTACTAAATTATTTATTGAAGGAAAGAAATTTTTGTAAATCCAAAGCAATATAATAATTTCTTTAGTTATTATTATTATTATTATTAACATAAAATTACTTTGATGTTTTAAATAAATTACAGCCCTGGAAAAATATTTCTTTTTTTATGAAAATTTTACAAATTTCTCAGAGTAAACAATAAAATACTTGTTTTCCATACTATCGAAAATATCATTATTTCGATCCTATTAAAATACTATGCAAGGACACGTACTCTCAGGGAATGGTTCATTGGATCGAGAACCCCTCCGAAAATTAAAAAAAATTCAAATTATTTAAAATGGAATTTACTATTGTTAAATTTGATCATTATATTTAGCAATCAAAAAAACAAAATGGATAAATTTGGAAATGTATATGTACCTTATTATCTAATTTATTTAAAAATACTTAATAACCTAAAGTAGAAGATATATGTTATTTTTATTAATCAAATGTCAAAATTCAGTTTACTGAGAAATTGATTAAACTATATTAATACAACTGTTGAAAAAATTGTAACATTCACCAAAGTTTTTGGAAGGGCTTTAATTGTAAATAAACATTAAAGAACTATATAGAAATATATTTTGTGATTTATTTAGTATATTAAGTTTTATGTAGATTTGAATTGAATTTATGATAAATTGAACGTGTGGATGTTCCGATTCTATTCTATTCTATTCAAGAGTTGTTTATATAAATAATTTAAATAAATAATTTTGTTGATAAAAATAAAGTACTGAAACATTTTTATTTTTTTAGTACTTATTTTTAAAATTATTATAATTATTTTAAAATGAAAACCAGGGAAGTCGATTTGTAGTTTAAGACCAAAGATTTATAAAGTAATTGCAATAGGAATGAGCTTATTATTAATTATTACAAGTAGTTTAAGGTACAGCTAAGAAAACTCTAAACGTTATTGAAATTTAAAGAACTGTAATTATAAGTAGTTAACATTTCATTCTTCTCTGAGTAAAAATAAATGCTGCATATAAAATTCTTAAAACAATAAATAAGAACTAAATTTAGTCGTTAAAAGTAATAAAAACACATTTAATGAAAGACTGCACTATATTAATACCTTTAATAGCGAAGGTCGGTTTTCTGGTTTATTATTTTCTTCCTGTAAAATTGTTAAAGTCGCTATTTTTATTATAAAAACTGGTAAATTAGTTGAAGGAATTTATTATTTAATTAATTTTATGAATCAAAAAATATTTAATTACATATAAACAGAGAAATAAATAAAACCATAAAAATATAGTTATATCATTACTTCAATAAGAAAAATTTATTGATCAATGATAAATTAATTATTTTGTATATAAATACCTTTTTAAGTGTAGATTGTGTTTTTGATGTATTATTCTCTTCCTGTGAATTTTTTCAAAATTACTATTTTTAATATGCTAACTTAACTTATATGTTAGTAGTTGTAGAAATTTATTGATCAATTATAAATCAATCATTTTGTTTATCAATACCTTTATAAGTGTAGATTGTGTTTTTGGCGTATTATTGTCTTCCTGTAAAATTTTTCACAATTACTATGTTTAAATTTACTCATTTCACTAATATATTAATAGTTGTAGAAATTTATTGTTTAATTAATTTATAAATCTGAATTTTTTTAATTAATAGAAATTGATTGATCAATAATAAATCAATCATTTTGTATATCAATACCTGTATAAGTGTATCTTGTGTTTCTAGTGTATTATTCTCTTCCTGTAAAATGTTTCAAAATTACTATTTTTAATATATACTAATAAATTATGTCGTACGTCGGTAGTATCGCGACGTAGATACGAAAAAAAGTAAAGAAATTAATTAATACTTATAACGACGAGTCGTTTTTACCTATTCTGGAGTCCTCTCGTTGGGTATACTGGTCAACCACAATCCCTTCAATTAGTGAACCACTAAAGGAGTAGGTTTTAGACCCTTCATCACAGTCTAATTAAAAAATAACAGACTGAATGGTGGCTCCTAATCATTCACCAGCACAACTACCTTTCCATTATACCTACTAAAAGACGGTTAAGCCCAAAAACTAGCCAGAACGCACACTGATTGTTAAGATCGACTACAAGACCAGCAGTCCAAACTTGACACTAGCCGCACACACACAATTTTAATAGCACGGTACATAAAAAATGATTACAGTTTTCGAATAGTTATCTTTTATTTACGAAATTTACTAAACACAAAATCAAATTACAGTATAACAATGTAACACAATATAAATTAACCCGTTCAAAATATAAAGTTTCACGCACCAAACGTCCTTACCCGTAACTCGACGTTTCTTCGTCAAAACGTCAATCTCTCGTTACTTTTCTTGTTTCCATTTATATATTCTTTTTCCCACCATTATTAATTCACTTACCCTGCATATTCGCTCTATATGACGTTATTATATTACTTAAGAATTTGATAATTGCTTATTACTATATTGAAAAACTTTACTATACTAATATTGCAGTTATTTAATAACTTCTCAGCTATTTACTACAATTAATAATTATTAGAAATTATTAATTAATTAAAATGTTGTGTTATGATTTATTTCACGTTATTTTATTTCAATGGAATATTTTGTTTTAGTGTTAAGTCTATGTGAAAATACCACAATTAAACTTTATATATGTTTTATAAGTGTCAAAAATTGTCAAGTTGTTTGGTAAAATTAATAAATGATATCTTTTAATATTATTCTGCTAAATATGTATTTTTGATATCACATTAAATAATATACGATTTCAATATCTGTCCCGATCACTGATAATATAAACGAACCCGCTGTTATTATTTCACTGTTATTATTGACTTAACAACACTGTCACAAGTATTTTAAATTAGAATTTTAATACATTACTTGTGTAGTAGGTGACTTCACATCGGTTTTGTCACTTAAATTGATCTAAACATAAAATATTTCGAATTAGTAAAATAATTCTTCGTTTTCCCAAACTACATTTTACTTAATATTTATTTTATCGCAAAAAGTTATTAAAATTATCAAGTTGAAAACTTAATATGATTAAGGTAAACTTACCTTATTAATGGAGTCTGTCAACGTTTCATCGTTACTAATTTTAACCTAGAGAAATACAAATAATATACAAACATTTGAATTTAATATATATTACTGTTGAAAATTATATCGAAAATCTCTTGAGTTGATTAATTTTATGATTATCATTGATCATTTACAATTCGTTAGGCCTTTTTTTTTTATTGATAATGAGGCTTAGGCAGATATTTTTTTATTGAAAATATTTATATAATCAATAATGTTACGTTATTGATATAACTAGTCTTCGCCGTTCTGTGGATCCGCCCTTGACCATGTGGGCCTCAAGCACCTACAGAGCGTTTGGCTTGTCTTTACAGGTAAGCTACTGATTCGGGTAGAAGTACCCAACTACGTCAGATAAAATTTTTGTTGTGCAAAAAAGTATTAATCCAGAAAAAAAACTTAATTATTAAGAACAATTTCGAAGCGTCGTGTTATTAGTGAAAAATACATAAACAAACATACAATTTGAACAAAATTGATATGCGCAAACTAAAATTATATATTACTATAAACTATGCGTGTAGACCATATTAAAATAGAGAATTTTGACCTAATTTTGGATTTTTCATTTTCATCGTAGCATGTAGATTACAATGCTATATGAGGGAAACGGACAAAAAATCGTTTTCATGAAGTAAAAAATTCGGACGTCGCGGTCTGGATTGCCAAGATAAGTAAAACTCCTAACAAAAACCAACAGATTTTAATCAAAATTTTATTTTATACAACATTTAGGGTACAAAAAAAAGTATAATTATTAATCGTTTTACCTCAGTAGATTTTGATGAAGATTTGTCTTTCACTTTTTTGACACGACCTTTTTTTCCGGCCAATACTGATGTAATACATATAAATATACATATTAATAATAATATATTATGACAGCGCATTTTTTAATATGTACTTTTTAGAAGTCTTAAATTATTAAATTAGACTAACGAAGTAAGAATATAATGTGTGCAAATAAAATTTTTGTCAGAATAATATCGATTATATAGAGGATTTTTATTTGTTAATATTTTAAAAATAATTTGAAATTTATATCGTATAAATTTATAATTACTTCATATATGAATTATTGACAAACATTTTTAAAAATCATTTGCACAAATGTTTGAAATATTTAAAAAAAAATGTTCAAATTTGGAAAATAATTTTAAATAAGTTTTCTATTATGAGTTCATGCGTTATATTTATAGAACATATTTAGTTTCTCTAAAACCCATTTATCAATCAGATATAACGAGTTTTTTTTATTAAATAAAACAATGCTCAATAATACTTTACATTATTTTAGATATTACAATCAAGTTGAAGAGTGTAAAACTCTCTCACTTTACTCTTAAGATGTATTAACTAAACAAAGTTGATTTACTGATTTAAATATAATTTGTTTCAAAAATATACTAAATATAATAATATTAATCAATTTTTGAATCTAACTTTATTAGTTGTCCGTGTATAAATATTTTAGCTTTGATGCGAAGCTATACTATGATACTATTATACTATGATGTGTTTATTTATTTATTATTTTTTTTTTTTTTGTGTCTGTTACCACTTTTTCTCAGCTCTCATCAAACCGATTTCTTTCAACGATACGTCAAAAGATCACAAATCGTATCTAATCGAAGACATTGTCCTCGAAAATAGAAAATTATGCCATCGTTTCCCGTAAATGGGCAAAACTCCAAAAAAATTACAAATTTAAAAATCGCTAATTTTCTATTTTTTTAGTTAAAACTGTCATAACTTTTTTAAAATTAAACAATACAATATTTTTTTTTATAGATGCATGATGTCTTTACCTTTCATATGATATATTTTTGTTATAGATCTAACCCTTTACCTGCCTACAGTGGGGAATTCAAAAAAAGACAAATTTTTTACAAAAAAATTTACTTTTTCAACTTAACTTTTGAAAGTGTTCCGAAAAGTCTGACACTTTTATATATATCTTAAATTAAAGCTAATGTAATGTACATTATTATGAAAAAAAAAATTTTGGGCTTTATTTTGTCTTCATGGCGATAATGGCTACCGAATACATTGTTGTGTGAAAATTCTCTATTTTATTTTTTACATTTTTAACTTTATAATGCTATAACATATTGAAAAGTGTATGGATCAACACAATTTTTTTATAAGAAATAATATTTATATACCTTTATCATTCGACATACTTTATCTTAATCAGGATATTAATAAGGAAATAGCAGATCATGTAGCTTGTGGAATAATCCACCAATTTTTTTAAATTAAACACCATCTAAAGATTTGCATCGAAGCGTTTTTTTTTTATAGTGATTTTAATCACTGTCAGATATCATTATACTTGATCCAACTATACCACGTCACCACTGTGCTACGACCCTCCTGTGCTGGGTTTTTTATATTATTATTGCTAGTATATTTTTAAGAAAAATATTTTTGTTACTTAAGTAGTAAAAAAGATTAGTGTACCTTTAAATAATATAATAAATCACAATAACATTAATCGATTGAGTATTACAAGAATAGGAACTTTATTTAATTGTATATGTTTTTGAAAATCAAACCAAAAATCACGCACATCTACAAATTGAAAAAAAATGCTTATAAAGAATTGAGTTTACTTCAGAGAGTAACGCAAGTGTAGGGGAGAATTTTTCAATAAAAGTTTTAGTGCGGGTTAGAGCACATTTGACAATCTCACGTCTACAAATCGATGACTGTCGCATCATTATAATTCCATTAATTATAATAGTGTACAATTAAATAGTAATTAACCGAAATGAAATGTGCGCACTGGCCAGTTGTGACAACACCTGAAACAAACTTGTTAACCTAAATTTACAGGGAGAGGATGTAAGAAAAGAAACAAGAGCGCCAACATGTGGTTTGGACACAGCGCAGATACCAGAAACTATTTATAGAGCGCGACACTTAATTAGTTGCGCGCAAACAGTTATTTCAGTCAAAACGTTAACAATTATTTCGTTATTCGTTTTAAACGGGAGACATAATTAAATGTCTTCTGTTTTGCTTTATTTAAACAATATCAATTTTTTGTGTTTTTCGGTGTTCAAATGTCATTGACAATTGTGAACCAATATTTCCGAATTTATTGACAGTTTTATATCAAGAGGGAAAGTTTGTAGCAAGGAAATGACATCACCAATGTGTCATCACCAGGCTGTGTATAAAAATATTAATACCTTCAAAAGTGCTGATCCAAATGTCGTTATCAATCGTTATTATTTTCTTAATTTGATCATTTTCTATTTTATAAGTTAGTTAAATGAATATGTTACTTTTTAAATACATAAAGTTGATTTATGTTTGTTTTAAAACATACTTATACCTATTTTGCAACATAATAATTATATTCATGCAGCTTTGTCAAAAAATCTAAATAGGAAAATTTGAATTTCTATTTACAATCAATTTTATTTTTTAACTTCGATACGAACCTGAAATGGTATTGGTTTGTGGTGGTGTGCATATTTTTATGACTGTCTCAGTTCTCATTACTGAGATTTTTTCTGATTTTAATTATCAATACGCCAAAAGAACTCGATTTCAAGCTAGTTAAACTTATCTTCTTCGATTAATAGAATAAATCCTTTCAATTTCAGAAGTTTAAAAAATATCTCAAAATTACACAATCTTAAAAAACGTAATTTTCAAAAACAAAAAAATGTTTTTCATTTTTAAACTGCTAAAACTTATATTTTTCAAAACACTGAAACTAATGAAATTTAATAGAGTATACTAGAAAGAATTAACTTTTTGTATGTTTTTTTATTGAATTTCTGATAAAAAGCCTAAGCCTAAAGAGACCACTTACTAAATTATAGCATATATTATTCAAATAAATTTTTTGGGAGATCTCTAACTGATGTTAAATTAAAGATTTTAAATATACTGCTTATAAAAAAATGTTTGTTTGACAATTGTCATATTGGTAATTCTACTATGAGAAATGGGCTCTAAAAGTAAATAATATCGCAATTAAAAGAAAAAAAACAATTGTTTTGACTAATTTTGAACTCTTAAAATTTTTTATTTTTTTTTATTGTAGTTTAACTTTAATTAAATTTAATCTGTTAAAAACATTTAACAGATTCACATTGTAACGTATCATTACGATAATAATGTCATTGACTATCAGGAATCATTCTAACTTGTCCATGTCTCTACTAAGGTGGTTGTTTTTTGCAATTAAAGTGATAGAAATAAATGTAGTCTAAAGCGCGTATTTATTATCAATTTAACATCTCTAATTCTCTTACACTAATCATTCTGCTAAGAAAATTAATTTGGGTATTTTTCATTATCATGTATAACTTGATTTATCAATTTTAAAATACCCTTTTAATTCATCCCTTTTATGTTGTTAGGGTGTTAATTTTATTATTTTTTAATATATATGAATAATTTTTATATTTTATAAACAGCGTGATTTAATTATACTACCACTCATTTTTTTGTTAAATAATAACATTTTCATAAAAATGTACATATTCAAATTTGATTTATATTTATGAACTATAGTAAATATGAATTGAATTGTAGGAAAAAATTATTTTTAAGTTTAGATTTTCGATGTAATTTTCAAAGTTTAAATGGAAACCTATATTTCTTTTTTTTTTTAGTATTAAATAAAAAATAGCCAATAAAAATATTTGACTAATCGATAACTATTTATATACTATTGCTTTTTGAGTTAATATAATTTTTTATTATAGGTGAGCCAAATACGCAACATAAAAAAATCCTTATTTGTGTGATATGGTAAAAACAGAGCATTTGTTTTTTAATAAATTATACAGTTTTAGACACGATAAAAGCATATTGTTTTATTAACAGTCTCTAATAAAATAAAAATACATAATTTTGTTTTTTCCAAGCTACAAAAATGTCATTTTAAAATCTTGTTCTCACAGACAATTTTGATCGGACGATAACAACTTTAAGATAAGCAGCAACTAATTATTGCTTACAGGGCAAAATTTTAAAATGCTTCCGTATAAAACTATAAATTATTTTAATTTACTATTTTAGTGGATTAAGCTTGAAAACATTTTCATATTACAATAAACATTGTGTTCTTTTATCTTTTCATAATTATTTTATGAACATTTGTTATTTTATTTGATTAACTACATTTTTAAAGCTATTAATTTTATTTAAATCTGAAATTTTTTATAATTATACAAAAAAAAATGATGAGCAACATATTAATATTTGCACGCAACGTGTAAAGAAACATGACATCTTATTATATAATAGAACAAGGAAAAAACACTCTTCTGGAAAAACTACTTAGCGTGCTCAGATTTTCAAAATTTTTTTTTTCAATGAAAATACTCAGTCACCAGACTTCGGGAAAATTATTGGCAAAGGTCGGAAAACTTTTGCCGCTCGCCCGCGAGTGTTTTAAAATTTCGACCGTTTTCGAGAAAAACGCTTGCTGACACCAGCGTTTTACGACTTAAAATTTGAAATTTTCATCAGACCCGGCCAATGACATTCCTGAGATGTAATAAAAAAATCAATTCAATCCGTTTATTTTCCACCGTTTTACGAACTTTAGCTAGGGTTAGGTCAATTGTTTATTTTTGTATATAGTCCAATGAGTTATCCATCAAGTTACTACCATACAAAAAATCAAAATCTTCGGCAATCTCAGACATTTTTCAAATCGATTTTTAGTTCAGTAAGAATTCGGTCATAAAATTTACATATATCTTTTATTGAGGTAATATTTGCATATCTCGTCTTCAATTAATTCAAAGTTTAATTTTTTACGTTCCTCTTTCGTTTTTCAGGAAAAATTGCTTTAATATCGTGATCATTAGCTAACACTTTTCCGTATTCAGATGACTTATAATACTCAAAAAAAAAAACACTTACATTATATATTTTACAGCCCGGTTTTTCATCAAATTGTTCCTTTGTCATATGTATCGATCGATAAAAATATCCAGTTCAACAAA